TCTCTCTCTCTCTCTCTCTCTCATGAGAAGGATGACGTGTCTGGCACCTGGTTTGGATGGATGTTGCGAGTAAGAGTCTGGATCAAGGTCGTTCGTGGGTTTTTTTTCCCTGGCTTGGTATGCTTTGCTACCTTCTCACATCGACCGTGAAGTTCACGGGGTGGTGGATTCGTTCCTCCGAAGATTTGAAGATTTCAAGACTCAAGACTCAAGACTCCAAGACTCAAGACTCCAAGCTCTGAAGAGTTTAGCTGGCACGCTTTCGCTCGATCACCCCTTACTTTTCCCTACTGTCCGATAGATTCACGTTGCTCCGATAATCCACGTCAGGCGCTGATGATCTGAGTCACAACGTTTCGACCCTCGTTCCCGGCACGTTGCACGCACACTTTTTTAGAGACGATCGAACTGTTTTAGAGACGATCGACCATCGTTTGTAGAAGATGGGGGACAACTACACGCCTTATGGAGCATGTTTTAACTGTAAGCAACAGGGGCATTGGGCACGCAACTGCCCTTACCCACGCAGGGATGATGGTCTGGTATCCGGTAGACCGATCACGGGGCCAGCTTACGGCGCCACAGCTGCCCGTTCACAACCGTTGCTCAACCCACCCCACCTTGCTGCCCCTAATCCTAATCCTTATGCTCCCTCTGCTCCTCCTTTGCCGACATTCCCACCACCTGCTACTACCTCTTCGCAGCCTTCTGCGCCGCCTACCACCACTTACGCAACTTCGGCAGACTCGATCGCTTCCTCTTCCAATGCCATTGTCCCGTATCAACCTCGCCAGATTGTCCAGAATCCTGGCCCGCCTGCTTGGAACTCTTGGAATCGGGGCTCTAGATCATATGAGGGTGAGATGGTCGCCTTGATTCGTGAGATTGCCTACGACAATTGGGAAATGAGAGAGTTGAGGAGGCAGGAAAACGAACGAAGGGTTAGAGAAGAACAGGAGAGAGTTGTTAAGGAAGCCGAGGAGAAAAGGAAAGAGGAGGAATCGAAGAAGGAAGCTGAGAAAGAAGCAAGGTTAGATAAGATGTTGGACGAACGAATGAAGGAGATGGAGAAGAGGAGGGAGGAGGAGAACAAAAAAAATTGGGAGAAGATTGAGAAGGGGAAGGGTACGGACGTGGCGGCTACCCAAGAAGACAAGGCGGCTACTAACGGCGACAACAAGAAACGAGGACAAGAAGAGATGGCAGGTGCTGCCCCAAGTCAGCCTCCGACTCCGAGGCAACGCGTTCAAAAAGTTAACGCTCTCGATGTCGGGCTTCTACTGATGAACCTGGACAACGTACAGCGATCGCAAGCACAGCAAAAGAAGCTCATGGAACAGCAGCAGTCTCAGCAGAACGCTATGTTCGAGCGCATGATTGGGCTAATTGAGAAGTTGGATGCAGTGCAGCGAGCAAGCTCCTCTGCGCCCCCTCCTATGTGGATCCCACCTGCTGCCGCTGCCGCTACCGTGCCTCCCCCTCAGTTCCAACCAACCTTCCAACCTCCCCCGATGCAAGCCCCCGCTGCTGCCACTGCTGTACCTCCTCCTCAACCCCAACAAAACTTCCAACCCCACCAATCAGAATCATCCCTCCCATTGCGCCCCCTCCCACTCAGCCTGCAGGGGCGGAGGGAGCAGCCTCCGTTGGCTACTCCTCCTCCTCCCCCTCCCCCACGAGCCGCCACCCAATTGTCACCCCCTCCATCCCCTATTGCACCTCCTCCTCCCCCTCCCCCTCCCCCTTCTTCTCCCCCCCCTCCTCCACCAGCAGGCCGAAACCCTTCCTCTAGGCGAGCTTACCGGGATCCGGCTCTCGACCGACAGAATGGGACCACTAACCGACCAGTCACCAGGAGCATGGGACCTCGTGGAACCCAGGCAGAAGACATCCTAGGGCCTTCTCAGACACCTGCAGGCGGCAGAGTCTCTGGACGGCTTGCAGACGTCGTCGCATCTGTAGCAGGAACTGCCAAGCGAATGTCGGGCTCTTTCTCAGCAGTCAGAAGTGGCACCCCGTTTGTCCTTGGATTTGATCGCGTCAGAGAAGGGACCAGAGCCGTGGTAGCGAATCCTGGGCCTGGAGGACAGCGGCAGTACCAACGGGATATGGAAAGGGAACTCATGCAAAAGTATAAGCAAGAACTCATTGAACTCTGCAACAAGGACAAAATCAAGTATCATAACAAGAAGCAAGCTGTTGCGGATCTGACGGCGATCAGGGTAAGGGACGCATATGGTGAAGAAGAGGAGGAGGAGGAGGTAGAGGTTACCGAGGAGGAAACTCAAGAGGAGAATCCTTCTTGAGTCTTACCGGGATCCATCCTAGTTATGGCAACAGGTTAATGATCTCTGTGAGTTGAGAAGAACGAAAGTGGTGAAAGGGAGGGAGAAGCATGCATTAGAACAACACATGAGGCTGTATGTACTGCTTCTGATACTATTGGGTCAGATTGCATAGGGTGAAAAGTTTCTTGATCAATGGTTTGAGTCTGTCCATAGTAACTATGATATCTGTGAAGGGAAAGGCTGTTGTGTATATATCCTAATTTCTCCTTGGTTTAAAGCTACGTATATTGGTTCCACAACTAGGGGAATAACAGAGAGATGGGAGGAGCACACGGCATCTGTTAACAACCTGTCCTCTAGAAGAAACCACAAACTTAGAAGATGGTTAGCATCGAAAGGTTGGGAGAAGTATGTGGCTATTCCTTTGATATCGGCTTCTGTGAGTGAATTGAGAGAGGTCGAAGTAGCCTGCATTGGCAGATGGGCACCCACTTTGAACACGGTAAAAGGGAAACGAAGATGTTGCAGAAGGAAAGGTAAGAGGGAACGAAGATCTTTCGCAAAGAGAAACCATCTCAGCGCCACGACTGCTAAGATGAATGGTTGCCTTATCTCATGGGAAATAGCCGTAGGGAGTGCTATTTTTGAGAAAAACACTACCTCTATTTTTTCTCTGGTCTCTGCTCTGAGGGAGGCTGTTGCCTCGGACAAGTTCTCGGCCACTGTTAGGACGACGGGCGACCAATATTTTTTCGATGGGTGGGGCCGCTTGAAGAAGCTATTTGGTTGGTCTATCGTAGAGTTCGGGGAGAGCAAGACTTTTTTGAAAAATTCTAAAGAAGAATTTATGAGGGGAGGGACGTTTATTTTTTTTCATATCAGATTGCAGACGAATCTAACTAGGCAGAGGAAATATGTTTTGATCTCTCTCCTGCAGATTCCTGCATTTCGAAAGTTACTATATGATTTCCAAATAGATGCTTTGATTAAGCTCTACAACTGTGCTGAATCTTTTAACGGCAAGAGTCGAGCCGTTCTCAAGGGCATTGTGAGCAGGGTTCTGAAGAAGAAGTGCGGTTTTAAATGTATGTCGGCTATTGTTATCAAGGGTGTTTTCTCTGAACACATCGACAAGCGAAATATAACCTGCCTCGCTAAGAAGCTAATCAGGCGGCGATGCCGTGCGTTGCTGAATTTATGATTTAAAGACTGAGGTTTGTTTGGAAGGGGACAAAGACCATTGGAGAACAACTCCATAACCATCGTAAAACAGCCAGAGATGATCACTTAGAGTGCAACTGCAGGAACGAATGTACAGACTTGACAAGGGATAACCAATGACATGTTTCTTTCCGCTTCTCAAATTGTTCTGAAATTCCTAACTTCCTGAGTAACTCCAGGAATAGTGTGCCACCTAATAGGTCTATTTCTTTAACGCACCTTAAACGTATTATAGAAGATAGCCTGATTAACTGTCCCGGAATGGCACATATTTCAAGACGGGAGTTGAGCAAGTGCCTCAAGAACAGTTTAGTCTGCTCGGACTCTAGAGCAGGATGTATGGAGGAATGGAAGCATAAACTGGAAACATTGGTCGTCTGTCCCATAGACCACAATATTGGTGACTCCTTTGTGTGCTGCCGTAGCCTGTACAAAAAGGCTTTGGCCCAACTGTACTGGGAAAGTCCCGGGTTTGAGATCGTTGATCTAAGTGTCGAAGAGGTACTGACGACATGCAAGGAAAAGTTCTTGGCTATTGAAGCCAACAAGATTGCCCGTTGGGATAACAAAGGCACGATTGGTTATTGTTACGGTATTCCTCAGCACAAAGACACCACGAGATGACGCCCAATCGCCCCGTCTTTCGCTGACCCCCGTGTGAAGGCCTGTAAGATGGTTTCTAAGGCTATCAACTATCTTTTGTGGAATCTGCCCGCTAAGTCTCACTTCAATCTGAAATCTACCTCGTTGCTGAAGAACAGAATTCAAATTATTGATAAAAAAGCAGCCGGGATGGGTAGGGGATGCCTGGTTGGGGCTAGTTTCGACGTGAAGGAGATGTTCACTAAACTACCGCATATATCTATTATAAAGGCTGTCGAGTGCGTATGTGAGGAATTTAGAGGCCAAGGGAAGAGGAGTGTACGTGTGAATAGACGCGAGAAAGAAGTACGTTTTCCAAATGGCTTTGGAGAGACAGGATGGGTGACATTAAAATTTTCTCAAATTGAGGAATTTGTGAAGTACGACCTCAAGAACACTTACTCAAAGGTCGCGGGGAAACTGATCCGGTAGGTAGACGGTATTCCCATGGGTAAGAGTTTTAGCCCTTCATTAGCCTGCCTGCTCTGTTCTTACAACGAGTGTATGTTTCTTAGGTCTATTGGGACCGATGAAAGGTTTTTTCACGGCATTAGATTAATTGATGACATAAATATCTTTCTGTTTTTTCCAAAGAGAGATCGAACTACACTGAAGAAGGCCGGTAAACTACTGACGAAATTCCAGGACTCCTATGACCCTAACTTGACTTTAGTTCGGACAGATGACGTCGGTGGTAAATGGAATTTCCTAGGATGCTCAATTAAATGCTCAGCCCAACCACCAAGAGTGAACTGCGCAGCCACCACCAAGAACCAACTTACGATTTGGGAGGAGAAGCCCATCAGGATCCAGACGACGAAGGATTTCTGGTCTTTTGGACCAACTCAAATGAAGAAAGCAACGATAAAATGCCATCTCCACTGGATTCTAACCCACTCCTCAGACAATCGAGGAGTGGGTTTGGCACTGCTATCTTTAAGGCGGGAATTAAGGATAAAAGGTTTTTCGTCCAGCTGGTTTTCTAGGGGACTAAGGGAAGTTGCAAATGAAAAACGACAGGGGATTCTCGAAGGCTGGGTAGAGATTTTTGAGCAAGGATTAGGGGCCCCAAAGTTCGTTCGAGGCAGCCCCTTTCAATATCCGAAAAAAAACAGGCGTAGGCAAAACCAAGCCCAGCCTGCTCCACGGCAGGTCTCTTCCCTCTCTTCCCCCTCAGACCATTCTCTCCAGTCCCCTGGTTTCCCCCGTTTCTGCTCTGCACTGCCCCTCCCGATTTTTCGATTTCCCACCTCCCATCTCAGTCCCGTCAATCCCATCTGTCTATTTCTTTCCTACCCCCCCACGCTGCAACTTCCCGCTCTTGTTCCCGTCCCATCGACACGCCGCGTAAGGACCTTCTTCACACCTTCTATCGTCTTGCTGCCAGAACCAGCTTTCAAGATCCAGCACCATATCACCCTAACAGCGGTCAATCTCTCTGCCCCCAAGAAACGACATACGACAAAATCACTCCCCATCATCGTCTTTTTCTCGGAATCCCTCCCGCTCTCCCTTCCTCTTCCTCTTCTCTCTCTCTCCCTCCCCCCCCCCCCCCCCCCCCCCCCCCCCCCCCCCCCCCCCCCCCCCCCCCCCCCCCCCCCCCCCCCCCCCCCCCCCCCCCCCCCCCCCCCCCCCCNCCCCCCCCCCCCCCCCCCCCCCCCCCCCCCCCCCCCCCCCCCCCCCCCCCCCCCCCCCCCCCCCCCCCCCCCCCCCCCCCCCCCCCCCCCCCCCCTCTCTCTCCCTCTCTCTCTCACCTAGTTACCTCCCCCTTCAGCCCCCCTTCACCACGTTCTTTTCACACTCTCTGCTTCCTCTCCGCACTAGCCCGCTCCAACTCTGTCTAAGCATATCCCGCGTTTTTTTCTTCCATATCTGCACGGTCAGACTTCCTGCTCCCACGACAAAAAACCTTTTCTATCTTCTCTCTCGCCGTCTCCCTTCCCGATTCTTTCCCGCTTCTGACCTCTGCAGGATGGCTTTTTCACAGAATAGTACAAACTTGCCCGTACGCACGTTTTTTTGTTCCTTGCGGGTGATAGATGAAAACTCCGGCCATTCGGACCAACCGACTACAGGCAATGACGGGTATTTAAGTGAGTATTCTCTTCGATCTCCAATATGCTTCGTAAGTCCCCTGATGATGACCTCGTATTGGCGACGAGGTCGAAACCGGTAGGGACACACTCCAGTTAGCTTCAGCGCTCCAATCTATATATTTTTTCAAGAAGCTATTAAAGCTACGTTGCGCTACCCTCGTTTTTCTCTCTCTTTCTCTTTTCTTTTCTCTCTCCCTCTCTATCTCTCTCTCCCTCCCTCTCTCTCTTTCTCTCTCTTTCTCTCTCTTTCTCTCTCTTTTTCTTTCTCTCTCTCTCTCT